TGTGGGTTTACGGGCCTGGGACGTGCGAGTAGAACAACTATAGCAACCTGCCTCGGGACCGGAAAGGTGCTGCCGGAATCTTTGAAAACTTTTCCGAGTTGGCTCTGAGGTCCTACGTGTCCCCCGGATCAAAGTCCAGCCGGCCCCCAAAAAGGAGGCACGGCAGTCGGTCAGTTGGCTGGAGACCAAAAGCCTGATGACGCGGCGCGGCTGAGTATGCCTAACGGCTCCAGCAAGCCCGAGGCTGCGGCAGAAAGCGCACGCTATAGGGTTTAGGATTTAGGGTGTTTCCCTGTCAGAGGTCTGGACACAACTTCTACCTGAAGCTCCTGAAGATGACCGCTTAGGGGCACCCAGCGTGTGGGTGGTGAGAAATTTTCAAGCCTCAGGGGTCCAGGGTTTGGGGTCTTTGGGCTTACGGGATGAATGTGGAACATCCTGCCCCTAAACCCTAAACCCTATGCCGGCCCTGCCGAATAACCCAAAACACTCTAGTCTAGAAGCCTAAATAATTCACAATATTATTCTTCAGGGTTCCCTATTATGACGTACTATAAAGGAGCGCAAAACCCTATTCTAATAATTCAGGCCGCTGCATTATTACAGCCAGCTCAGCGCTGCAGGAAAGTGCCTTCCTTCCGCACGACGACGGGCGCTGCCACTCGACAGAAACACCACATACAGGGGCCTGAACAGCTAGGACAAGGTTACATTATAATCAGAGAGGGACTGCAAAGGCTTACAGGGGATAATCATGCAATATACAATGATTGAAAAATTACAAATTTGTAGTTTACATTGGTTTTGATATGATAGCTTCAAAACTTCAAAATCCCCACCATGCAGGCCCCTATAGAAAGCAACACCAACTACTGGAAAGACCCGACGCAGAGTCGAGTCCAGACGGGGACTCCGGTTCCGGAGATCAGCGCTCAGGCTTCAATACCATGTGGGGTGTAAGGGTTTCGGGATTAGGGCTTGAGGGTTTAGGGTTTAGGGCTGTAGGGTTCAGGGTTAGGGCTTTAGGGTTTAGGGTGTAGGGCTTTAGAGCACTACGTCTCGTGAAGGAGGCATTGTAGGGGACTCGGGTTGGGGCTCGTCAATGCAACTTGGAGGATCATGGGACTTAGTAGTTCCTTTAAGGGTGCTATAGGGTTCTATGGGGCTCCTTGAAGGGATCCTTACAGGGATCTATACGGGTTCTATAATGGAGGATCACGGGACTTAGTAAGTTATAAGTACCTTAATTGGGGTTCTAAGTATAGTTGCCCTAATTATAACCCTAGTTAGTAAGTCCCATGATCCGAGCCTTTGAGAAAAGTTTAGGACCCCCTGTTAGGGCTTGGGGTTCAGGGGGTCTGGTCGGCTTTTGGCATGTCGCCGAAAGTCGGCTCGGAGAGCTACGACCACCCTGGGCAAGAACACATCATCCAGATCTTGCTTCAGATCATAAGAACCCTTAGGGGGACAGGGGGCCTTAATACCTATAATAAGGACTTCATGAGGCCTATGTAAGGAAGTGTAGTCCCCCAACACCCCTCCCTCCTACCCCCCGAAGGGTCCCCATGATCAGACTGAACCCTGAGCAATCAGCATGCCCAAGAACTGATTCCCAAGAAATGATCATCTCATTGCGAAAATATCGACAATGACGCCACTGCTGCGCTAATGTCTGAGTTGGGAGGACAAGCAAGCTGCGAGCAGAAGGGCACAGCCCACAACCAACCGAATCCCCGAGTGCAGGGGCCTTCATAATTGGAACAAGGCTTCGGGGTTATAGTATACTATGACAATAAGAGCCCGAAGGAATGGTCTTGGTAAGTCTTCGGGATTCTATACTAATGACCGCCTTAACACCACACCTAAAACCTCAACATGCTGACCTGTGTCCTCCATCCCTGCAAGACCACACCCTCACTGTTCAGCCGACTTCTCAAGCCGTGGAATAAGTCTAAGAACACTTCAGACTTGATGCCGAAAGCCTGGGACTCTGAGCAATCGGGTGAACCCGGCCGCTATGCCACACTATGACTTTCATGAACATGGTCGCGATCAGGTACACTATAAGTGCCTTAATAAATAGAATAGCATCTTGGGGCCCATTATCCGATAACTATAACAAGGAAACCAAAAATAGCAGTATAGGTATAACTATTTAGGCAATTCACGCCCCGATATAACAATATCAGAATCAACACCAGCCTCGGTCCTCCTGCTGAAGAGCCTAACGTTCCTACTTGATCATCGGATTAGGGATTTGCAAGGGAACCCCTGAAAGGAACTCTTAAAGGAACCCTTAAACTAAGTGTCAGGTGTCGATTTCAACAGTCCCCAAATTAGTTATGACCGGAACTCTATATTAAAGATACAACAGTGAGGGAACTTAAGACTTATCCCAAATCGATACCTAGTAAGGACCTAGTAGGGGAGCGCTATCCTTGACCCTTAACGGAACCCTGAAAGGTACCCTTAAAGATTCCCTTCAAGGAACCCTTATAGATTCCTTAAAGGAACCCTATAGATCCCTTAGAGGAACCCTTATAGATCCCTTAAAGGAACCCCAAAGATCCCTTAAAGGAACCCTATAGATCCCTTAAAGCCTTAAAGGAACCCTATAGATCCCTCAAGGGGACCTTTAAACATCCCTTAAAGGAGCCCTATAGATGCCTCAGAGGAACCCTTATAGATCCCTTACCAGTACCCCGCAGCTGCCAGTCAGCACCCAGTCGCTGCCCGCAGCTCAGGAGCGACTCCTGCAGGGCTGGAGCTTCGAGGGTTAGGCTTTTTAGGATTTTAGAGCTTTAAGATTTAAGGTTTAGGGTTTAGGGTTTAAGGTCAAAAGTTTAGGATTTAGGGCTTAGGGTTTAGGGTTAGGGTTAGGGTTGAGGGTTTAGGGGTTAGGGTTTAGGGCTTAGGGTTTAGGGTTTAGAGTTTAGGGCTTAGGGTTTAGGGTTTAAAGTTTAAGGTTTGGGCTTTGGGTTTAGGGTTTAGGGCTAATGGAGCCCTTATGATCCTTAAGGGGGGTCGAAGTAGGGTTTAATGGTTTCAGGGCCTAGGGTTTAGGGTTTGAGGATTCCTTGTCTTTTTTGAGGGGTTTACGGTTCAGGGTTTAGGGTGGCTTAGGATTGAAGATTCCGAAACCCAAACCTTCTGGTTCAGGATTGAGGGTTCCGAAACCCCAAGACCTTAAACCCTAAACCATAATCCCTCCGACACCCTGTTGCCTAGGATTTAAGGCTACTGGTTCCGGGTTCTTCTCCTTCTTGACCTCTGCCAAAGCTCTTGTATCTTCGTCAGGCTCCTCGGGGTACAAAGGCTCGAACTCCAAGCCCAACTCTCTTGGAACTGCCCGGTAGAGGTGTTTTCGGCAGAGCCTTCGCTGACTTCGGCGCCGGAGGACCTGTTTTGGGCAAGGAGCTCTCCGGCGTCGGTGGAGCTGCTTTTGGCACAGGAGGCTTCGGCGAAGCTGAATCAGAGGGTGGCCTTGTCGTCCTAGCTGTCGGCCTCGCCATGCAAAGCAGCCGGCTCCGGGGATTCTCCTGCCGGATCAAGCAATCGTGGCACTGCCCGCACGGAGCATCTGGTTGGCGACCAAACGCGCGAGCTCAATGAGCTGGTTGGAGTGCGACTGGGGGACTTCGGCCAACATCCGGGTCTGGACTTGTGGTTTAAGGCTTCGGATTTGAAATCCAGAGCCGTCAGCCCAAAACCACCCAAACCGCCACAAAAGCCCAGAGCCCTGAAATCCTGTGCACCTTACCTAAACCCTAACCTTGGACCCGAACCCCAAACCTTAAAACCTTAAGTCCTGAACCTTCCGGAAAATTTAACTTTCCCGTCAAAGCCCAACGTAGGAGGCGAAGTCACGAGCTTTGGGTGCAGAGCAGATGATGCGCTGCCAAGTAACAAACCTAGGCTTGAGTTCCAAATAGACTCGAGTTCCTGTCAGGGTTCCTTTTAAAGGGATCTATGCCAGTTGCGTTGAAGGGATTCAACAGAGGGGCGTTAATAATCAGCAGAGCCTTTCCTGGCAAATTTCACCTGCAATGACATTTCGATTGTGTATGACGGAGTCCGATGGCTGCTAATTCCTTCATAACTCTTTCAAACTTCTGCAACAGACCTACGGCTGGGATTTAAGGTTTAGGGTTTCAGGGTTATGGTGTGTTCTTGTTTGAGGCACCCTTTGCCAGGTGCGTCTTGGGGTTACTGTAAGGTTCAAAGCTTGCTGTCTACAGCCATAAGCCCCAGACCGTAAACCGTAACCCCAACCTCACAAAAATTCAACACACGTGCCTAAAGAATTACTCATACTCGTCCCTGGGGTTCCGAGTGTACATGTTGTTCTCTCTATAAGTACAATATAGGGAGCTTAGTAATTACAAGAGGGTTTTGGGGCATAGTACTGTATACCCTCGAAACACTACAGGCAATTATTCAGGCCCGTAGATAGCGCCCCAAAATCCCATTCCAACCTAGCCGACCCCTGCATAACCCTCATTCAGGTCCTCAGCATTGCCACATGCCCGGCGCAAAGGCCTCCACTGACAGGCCAGGCTCCTCGTGATGCTAAAGGCGTCTGGCTTCCCAAAGACTCCACTATCCCTGAATTAAGGGACATACCTTGGATTATAGTAGGATCCCTGATATGATTTTTTAGGTATATTCTTGTTATAATTAAGGGATCTGGGGGAGTCTCTGGGTTCTTGGGGAGCCCCGCGCGCTACAGCCAACAGCCTCGCGTCCTCAAAACTTAACACCCGTTGTGCAGAAGGTCAACAGCATGCCCGGCTGTACCCTAAACCCTAAACCCTAGCACTCTGGCCCAGGCCTCCCCGGGGCAGTGCCGGTACCGCCCGCTGTTGGCGGGCTAAGGTGGGTCCGTAGTTCGGGGTTGGGTTTGTGTTTCCTTCCTGGGGTTTGTTTTCGGGCTCTCCTGTGGCCTGTTGTGGTTTTGGTTGTGGGTTGTGGTTTCTGTTCAGGGCAGTGGCCGTGCCGCCATGGGTGCCCGTGCCGTGTGGACAGAAGCTACGAGTAAACTCAGACCATGGATACCTGGCTCTTGGTGGAAAGCATCTTCAGCAGTATACTTCAAGGTGGAGCGCATGTGTGAAGCATCCGCGTTCGGTTATGTAGTGGAGCCTGACTTTCCGGTTCAGTTGGGAATCCGCTGCAAAAATCGTCATCCACATGTTCTGGATGTGCCCCTTGCGGTACATGGCGTTTCCGAAGAGCTTGTTGAAGGGCAGGTCTATGCAATGTGTGGAACATCTGCTCCTCTCTTTTGCGATGGATGCTGGGAGTTTATTGCTCCCAGTCTTCGGTGTAGCATTGGCATCTGCTGCATTCTTGGGTGGCGTACTTTGGTGCGGGCCATGCCGGCGCCTGGTTTGCATACAGCAGAAGTCCGGGCAAGTCGTGGTGATAGTGGTTTGGCATCAGCTGCTACAGCACTTTGTGGCTTTGTCGATGTGGCTGGAAAGTTTCATTCATGTCCGCCTCCAGAAAGTGAAACAACTGTGCGTGGTTGGTTGGAGCAATGGGTCCCTTCATGTATGTTGGATGTGGCATGGTTCAGCTTCAATGGCAAATGGATGGATCCAGAAACCTCCCTGGGGCAACATGAGGCAATCTTGGTACGGTTGCTACTTCGCCTAAGGGGTGGTGCCAAATCCAAATCTGCTTCAGATGATCTCCAGAAACTTCGGAAGCATCTTGCTTCAAAGGGTGTGCCCGATGAAGCCCTTGATCAAAGAATTGCTCAGGTTCAACAAGTGGTTACGCCAGAACAACTCTCTGCAGTATATCAAAGCTTGGACCCCTGGCAACAGTTAAAGTCGGCAGTTCATCAGCGCATGCGTTTGGTTTCTGCTGAGGAGCTGCGTAATCACAAGGCGAAGCTTAGTAAACAGGGTAGTGGGGTTTCGGACACTCCGGACCCACCCTTCCGCAGCGGCATCGTCAAGTGGACAATCGCATCCGAGTGAGACGGAGCCCTTGATCGATCTCATCCTGGAGTTCTTTTGTTGTGAGGATGGCACGCACCCCAAGCTTTTGCAACATGTCTCCAATGGTTGTTCTGGCAAATGCTTGCTACCCATTGAAGAAGCAGAAATGCTGTGCTCACTGGGAAAGTCCATTTCAGCAGATGAGTGTGGCGTTGTCGTTATGGGAACGACGCCTCCAAAAGCTGGAAATTGGCCTTGTGTTGCATTGACCTTCCTTGCCAATCACGCTCAGGCGGGCAAGATTCTGATCAAAGGTTTCCTGTTGAATCTGGGTGATAAGGCAATCACCGTTCAGACGGATGACGATGTCCTCACCATGCCATCCAAAGACACGCAAATGATCACCATCGAAATCTCCAAGAAGCACGTGGATGACTGGAGTGCAGTGCAGCAGAATGCCATGCGGTATGCATGGCAAAGCATCGCAGGTTTGCAAGAGGCAGCGCTTGGATCATGGAGCCGTAAGTACTTTAACGGTAAGGTTGTTAGCACCGCGAAGGATGCAACATCGTTTCATGGATTTGTGAAAGTGCTCTCAAGTGAACTTTCAAGGTTGCTGCAATCGTCAGGTGCCGGTGGCGTTTTCTTGACGCCCAAATCTAAGGACGCTTCTGGTCCTTCCACAGAGTTTAAGGTGATTTGGGGAGATTCAGATGATCTTTCGAAGGCCCTCATTGTTGCCCGCACGAACAGTGCCATCTTTGGGGTCGTCAAAGGTCGCGATTGCCTTGGATGGCGTGTGAAGGTTAAGGAGTATGTTGCAGTGCGTAAAGTGATCGAGCCGACATGGCAGGAGAATAAGAATCTTCGGTATGACATTCTCATAGGTCGTAAGTTTACTTTGGCCCCATTGCCGCAGGATGTAGACCGTGAGGCTTTGCAGCAGATCCTGATGTCATTTGCGTGGGAGGCCGTCCCACTCCGTCAGGTCAATGCTTTAACATGGGTCGTTGGATCAAACGACAGTCCACCGAAGGATGTTGTCCATGTCGGCAATACCCTCGTACTCATTCGTGAGGATTTGCAGCGACCAAAAGCCAAACCGGAGAATGCAGTAGTGTCGGCGCCTACGCCAGTGAGAAGAGCTTTGGAAGTCCAGTTACGCAATCATGCCGCCCGTCCGAGGCCAACACAATCAGCTGTCGCAGCGAATCCTGCCCCACCTTTGGTCAGGCAAGCTGTAGGCCCACACCAATCCCAAGTAGATGCTTTGCGCCAGCAGCTCGAAGATAAGATCAACCAGGTGAGCCATCAAATGACGCAAGCAGTCGCACAGATGCAAAATGATGTTAGCCAGACCCGCGAGGAGGCTCGCGAACAGGTTGCAGAGTTGCGTGATGAATGCCAAAAGCAACATCAGCGTGTAGAGAGCATTGAAAAGAATATCCAAGAGCTCGCTGCCAACACGTGCTCGAAAGCTGATCTCTCAGCTGTTCTTGCCGAAGCGCTGGCGAAGCAAAGTAGTGAACTGCGGGGATGGCTAGCCAAACGCTCGCCGGAACCCTCGCCTGTTAATGACCCCAATAAGGTCCCGAAGCATTCCTGATGGGTTTCGCGCCAGCTGCCTCAAGCTCTGTGGATGTTTAGCTCTCTGGCGAATGACAGCTTTTGTGCTAGATGGTTCGGGGGTTTTCCTTTGGGGCTTTGGGGTTGCTGCGCTTTTGCCATCACCTTTTGTAATTCGTTGCACATAATGACATAATTACCCGACGCCGCTCCAATCGTGACGAAAATCATGTTATGAGTTATGGTAGTTTGCAGCTTGCCACCGTCTGCGAGTTGCATGTCCGTTTGAACGCATCGCCGTCAAATCTGCTCAGCAGTTTTGTGCATGTCTGTCCATGGGTATCTCATACTGTACAGCAGCAGCTTGCCAGCTGTTACTCCAATTGGCCACGTTTCCTGCGCACTCTGCGAGTGGCTCGATGGGCATGGTTGCTTTCTTTAGGGGTCCGCTTTGGTGAAGCGACCAATCCAGGACCTGCATGGAGCCTTTCAGTTCGGAACATTGTGTCTGCCCATAAGCATTCCAGTGAGCTTAATGATTCTTCATGTTGTAAAGTGTGGACGGAGACTTCCGCCACTTCTTCAACACAAAGGCAAATCCGTAGTTTGGCTAAACAGTCCAAGGCTTTTTGTAGTTTTTCAGCACCCGCATCTTTCCGTGTCCACAATGATTTGGTGCAAGTTGGTAGGGGAGAAGCATCCGGTGTGTTGTGCTATTCCCCCGGCCAGAAGCAGAGTACTTTGCAAGGTTCCTGGGATCCCGTAGTTTGGGCCTCTGGTAGGGTTTGTGACTGCATAGTCGCGCTGGGTACCCTCCAGATACGTATCATAGGCGTCTATGGTTTTCATTCGTCATTACCGAATGCAGCTGCTCGTTCCGACATGTTGTTCGATGCTATCGCGCAGCAAGCTTGCAGCTTTCATTTGCCTACTATCGTTTGCGGTGATTTCAACATCGACATTGACTCACTTACGGCATGGCCACTGCTTCGCGCAAAAGGTTTTGTTGATGCCGATGCACACTTCGCATCGCTTGCAAATGCAGAACCGGCCAACACATATCGAGGCATTTCGCGCCTTGATTACGTCTTGGTAAATGCACATGCGTGGCAATATTGCCGAGGTTTCCATGTTGATCCCCGAGGCTTCACAGATCATGCAGAACTTTTTGTGCATTTCGATTTTCCCACGAAGTTGCCTCAAACCATGGTTTGGAAAATGCCGAAAGATTTTCAGGCAGTCCCAGGGCTGTTAAACAAGTTTAAACACGCAAGCGTCTCCAACACATTAGCCGCTCACTTCCAGGAAGTTGTAGTCACTAACGATGTTGATGCTGCCTTGCGTTCTTTCACCAGTGCTTTTGAGGAGGTTGCAGAAGCAGCTTTCCAAGAATCCTCTAGCCAGTGCTTGCCATTAGATTGCAAAGGTCGCGCAAACGGACGTTTGGTGCCAGCACACACAGGTCGCATCCGTGCCTTAATTGATGGCTCTTTCGCCACAGATAGGGTTTTGGTTGGTAAGCGTCTGCGTGTTGTCCGATGGGTTTTAGAGTTGGCGCACGCTCGTGCGAAGACTCCTGTCCAGCCTTGCGCAGGTGCCCACATTTTGTGGGCCAAGATTTGTAAAGCTCCTGGTTTCCCGGGTGGGTTTAGGGAATGGGTTCTTAACAATGACATTGTTGACTTTGTGCCTTTGGGTATTCCAGATAAGGTGTGGTTGTGTCAGGTAGGGGCTGCCCTACGTGCTGAAGCTGAATGGTGGGATACTGTAGTGAAGAGACAAAAGTCCCATCACATAGTGGAGGCCATGAAGGTTGATTGGTCTTCAGGTGGTCGTTGTCATGCCAGGGCCATTAAAGATGAGCAGCTGCCGCCACTACACAGCATAACAACTTCTCAAACCGTTCACGTGTCTCCAAGGCGAGTTTGCAAAGGCTCACCTGCCAAGTTCACACTAGTTCACGGGAGTGAGCCGATACCAGGGACAGTTTGGTCTTTTGGTTCTGTTAAGTGTGGTGTTGTCTCTTTTAAAAAAGGTGTCGTAACTTTGGACCGGCCCATGTGTCAGTCCATGTGTTGTAAGTCCGCACAACAGCATTCTTGGTGCGCTGAGCCTGAGGCTGTTTTTGCTTCTGTTGCAAAGTACTGGGATGGGTTCTGGTTAAATAGAAAGGAAATTGACATGGATTTTATCCAAACTTTAGCTCAACATTTGCCGGTCATGCCAGCTTTTGATGCAGAAATCACCCTTTCGGAGCTTCAGTGGGCTTTGCGAACGTCCAAAACGGGAACAGCAAGGGGTTTGGATGGTTTTTCGATGCCAGAGTTGAAAGCCATGCCAGAAGTGCTGCAGCAGATGTTATTGTCTTTATTCACCACTGTAACTCGTGTAGGTAAGTGGCCTGAGAAGTTGCTCGATGCTACAGTAGCACTGCTTGCTAAGATTCCCCACCCGACCAGTGCCAAAGATGGCAGACCTATCACTGTACTAGCGACTTTGTATCGTGTATGGGCACGCTGCATCGCTGCGAAAATTTATTCCCATCTCAGCCCTGTGTTTCCTGAAGAACTGTACGGGTCAGTACCAGGCAAGTCTGCCATGGACCTTGCATGGGTTCTTCAGAATGAGTTAGAACTTGCACTCCACACCGGCGAGCATGTGGCAGGGTTTTCTTTAGACTTAAGCAAAGCTTATAATACGATCTCCAGGGAAGTAGTTTGTGTCTTGGCATCAAGACTTGGTTGGCCCGCATCCGTTGTCAGCGCTTATGGAAACTTCCTGAGCGGTGTAAGACGTCACTTTCGCATTGGTGGTCAGCTGTTTCCTCCATGCACTAGCTTGACCGGTGTACCTGAAGGATGCCCGCTCGCTGTCTTGTCCATGATAATCATCACGTGGGCAGTGTCCGGTCAGGTGCAAGCTTGCCACGATTTACCATTGCGATCATACGTTGATAACTGGCGTATACAAGCTTCTGATCCTCAACTTGCTTGTGCGGCCACCAGCACCGTCTCTTCCGTCACCAAAAACTTAGGGATGTCTCTGTCGCCCGACAAGTCAATAGCTTATGCTACTTCTAAGGAATTCCGTGGCATTTTGCGCCGATTTTCTATTGAGGGTGTTTTTATTCCTGTCGCTAATGATTTTGGTGATTTAGGAGTTCAGTTTTGCACCCGCAAAGCATCGTCTGCTAAAGGCTTTCAGGGCCGAGTGGATAAGACTTTAGTTAAGTTGGAGCGCCTTCAAGTGCTGCCTTGGAGTATCGCCAAGAAAGTTGCCTGCTTGACGCGGTTTGTTTTTCCGTCAGCCTTGTATGGGTCGGAGCTGAGCTCGGTGTCCGTTTCTGCTTTAGGTACCTTCCGAGGCAAATGCAACAAAGCTGTTTGGGGATCTGCAAACCAAAGAAATCATTTCCTTGCGCCTTTGCTTGGTGCAAGTGAAATCTATGAGCCATGGATTCATGTCTTTAGGCGGCGCTGGACCACGCTTAAGCGCATGTGGGCCCTGTACCCTGTCGTTCGTAGTGCCTGGAATGTCTTGCTACACAGCCGTGTGTCCAAGTGCGGAGGGCCTCTGACGTATTTCTTCAAGGACATTCGTAGTTTAGGATGGACCCCCCTTCCGGATGGTTGGGTCGAAGTGCCAGGTCAAGTTAAGCTTAACATCCTTCTGTCTAGTTGGGATATTGTTTATGAACACTGGTTGGAGGCTTGGCAGTGCGAAGTTGTACGAGTTGTGCAAAGTTACCAAGGGTTGGAGGGTCTCCAAAGTTTTTCGGTTCGTTTAGTTCGGCAGTTGCTTCAAACTGGGCACGGTTACGATGCTCAAGTTGCAAACTACGCATGTGGCGCCATAGTGCCGGCATCGCGACGGAAGCATTTTGCAGCACCAGAAGATTTGTTATGCCCTTTTTGTAAAGCTGAGCTTACAGTTGAACATATGCTTGTGCACTGCCCAGCTACGTTGAGTTGCAGAGAATCGCTGACGCTCCCTGCGACTCTGAGCACTTTTGAGTTGCAATGGGGTTTGTTTCAAGATCCACCGGAATTGCTTCAGTTTAAGAGCTTGATGCGCACCCGTACCTGCGAGACTGTCACAAAGTTTTTTGAGGGCGAAGACGTCCACTTGTTCACAGATGGTTCCACTCTGCATCCGACAGATCCAGTCCTCAGTCTGTCTGCCTGGGCTGTTGTGCTTGCAGAACCTGGGGTGCTGAGCCAAGCCAAAATGCTGCATGATTATGTGCCAGGTGAACATCACACGAACAACAGAGCCGAGACTTTTGCAGTCCTTGCAGCCGTACTTTTGGGGGATGGCGGGGTTATTTACTCCGATTCGGAAGTTGCTGTTGCAGGTTTTAATTTGCTTTTGCAGCATGGCTGGGATATCAGGAAGTTGTGGAAGCACAGCAACCTTGATATATGGTTCGAAATTTCCCAAGCACTTAAAACTTGCAGTGGCACTTGGCGGATCGTGAAAGTCAATAGTCATCAGGATTGGCGCTCAGCGCCTGATGAGCAGCACGCGTGGCTTTGGTTCCACAACGGCGTTGCAGATGAGTATGCCAAAGCGGTGTTTTCTCGAAGTGACAAGCGTGTCAATGACTGCCACCGTCAAGCTGTGCAAGCTGTAAAAGGCACGCGCGCTGCACAGGCGCAAGTGTATGCTCTGCACAGAAGCGTTGCGGAAGTTTTCAACACAAAGCACCACACCCGTAAGTCTGTAAGTTTAAACCCGCATGTAAGCCCCCCCTCGCAAAATACCTTTCAAGACAGAGTCGGCATGCTTTCTGCTGACGCAGGGGTTGTGTTTCCTGGTAAAGATAATGTCCCAAACTGGGATGTGTTCTTGTTGTGCCCGCCTTTCGCGCAACTGTTATTCGACTGGTGCTCGCGGCATCGATGGGTTCCAGATGAGCAAGGTTTTTCGGTGATGGAAATGTATTTTGCTTTCACAGTTAATGTTGCTAAGTGGGACAAAGCTGCCAGACCTGCACCTTTTGACAAAGTGTCGGTCAAGGCAGCTTGGGTGCATCAGGTC